TTGTAAAGGAGGGCAAGCCCGTGGAGGAGGCTGGATCGTTCCGATCAGTCTCTGAAATTTGCATATTGTTTTTGTCGCGGGTTGCTGGTAGCCCCAGCGGCCTGCCGCGCTTGGCCTTCGTTGGCCCTCTTGCGCTTTACTGGGCGAAAGTTCGGAGCGGGGGGGGGGGGGCACGCTCGAGACCGATCGCCCGTGCGTGCTCGCGTTCTGCGCCTGGGCCCGCTGCTCGCTGGACGCGCCGCCAGAGCCCGCGGAGCTGGGCGCCCACCTGGAGGACTACATGAACGCTGAAGTCTTGCAGGGGGTGAAGAGCTGGCGGGGCGAGAAGCTCATGGCCGGCTTGATGTTCTTCCACCCAGACTATGGCCGCCTGGGGGGGCTGCACCTGCCGCGGGCCATGCGCTGCCTCGAGGGGTGGGAGATGCTTTCGCCATCTCGCTCTCGGAAGCCCTTGGTGTCTGCGATCTGGGCGGCCATGGCAGTGGAGCTGCGCCGGCTGGGAGCGCCTCTGGCGGGCGCGATGGCGCTGATCGTGGCGGAGTGTTACCTTCGGCCAGGAAAGATGCTGGGTTTGACCGGCAAGTCGTTCTTGGCTCCGAACGAGCATGCTGTCCAGAGCTGGGTTGCGCGGCTCGTCCCAGGGTCGGGCACGGCCCGGAGTAAGGTGGGGTCGGCCGACGACGCGATGCCCTAGGATTCGGGAAGGCGCCCCTGGATGAGCCGCATCTTGCGGGCCCTGAAGGACATGGGCTCGTCAAGGCCCCTCCTGGGTTTGAGCAGCCCGCAGTTCCTGTGCCTCTTCCAGAGAGCGGCTCTGGATATCGGCGCCGATGTCGCCCCCTATCAAGGCCGACGCAGCGGGGCGCCGCTGGATCGGGCAACAGGGCGGCGCTCTCTGGAGGAGGTGCAAAAGAGAGGGCGGTGGGCTGCGCTGTCGTCGGTAAAGAAATACGAGAAGTCGGGTCGCCCAATGAGAGCTGGAAGGCCCTGCCACAAGAGACGAGGAGTCACTGCGCGGTGGCTTCACGACAGCTGGAGGGCGTGCTGCTACAGGGGCGAGCCGCGCCAGCGCCGTCGTTCGTGCGCCGCGGGGCCTCACGCGGGTCCCAGTGAACCAGGCTATATTGCACCGGGCGCGCCCGTTCCTGCTAGATCTGTCTGCAGGCGGCAGAGGCGTTGGTGGCGCGGCCAGGCGATTTGGGGTAGATTCGATGTCTTTGGATCTCGAGGAGGGGCCTGGCCAAGATGTGTGCAGCTCCCTCAATCTGAAAGTGATCGAGCGGCACTTTAAACTTGGTCGGGTCCTCGGTGCGATGCTGGCGCCACCCTGCTCGTCTTTCTCGCTGGCTCGGAACCGATATCCTGTGAGGAGTGCCAAGAGACCAGAGGGGCTCGCTGTTTTGCGTGACAACGATCGGGGGCCGGCGAGAGTCGGAAACCTATGTGAGCGAGTGGTGGTTGTGTGATCAAATTGTGCCGTTTGCATAATGTGCCGTACGCTCTGGAGAATCCTGAGACATCGTATATGTGGAAGTGCTCAAACATGACCACTCACGTGATGCCCCACAGCCGATTGCTGGACTTGCATCAGTGCGCGTTTGGATCGAAGTGGCGGAAAGCGACCCGGGTGATTTTCGGCTGTGCGACTGAAGCTGGGGATTTCGCCCCGGTTTACCCAGGGCGCCTGCGGCGTCTTGGGAAACGTGGTTTCTGCAGCGTTCGACCTGGGAGAAAACGCATGGCATTCGAGGGGAAGGCTATGACGTCCGTTTCAGCTTCGTACCCACCTCGCCTTGCTGTGTGTCTGTGTAAAGCTCTGCTGAACCTGTCCTGAGCAGAAAGGTTGCACACTTGGTGATTTCGAGGGTCGACGCCTTTTCCGCCTGAGAATGGCCCTGCCGCTTCGCTGTGAACTTCGACTTTGCGAAAAATATGGGGTTTGGCCTGTCCGTCGCACGTCCCATAACCCCTGGGCGCGACCACTGTGGCATCAGACTTCGCCACTGAAGCGGTGATTAAGCATGTGTGTATGCGTGGCACGTAATTGCTTGAACCCCTTTTAAAATGTTGCAGCCCCTTCAGCAGCAGTCCCTCCGCCGCTGCCGGGGCTCAAGCTGTCCCACCCTCTGCCACCCTGGACCTGTCATTACATAGCGCGCGTCTGATTTAATTGTTCTAACACTTCCACTCCGCTCATGTGGGGTTTGGCCTGTCCGTTGCTCGTCCCATCACCCCTGGTCGCGACCATTGTGGTATCAGACTTCACCACTGATAAAGTGATCAAGCAAAGAACATGTATTTCCCTTAGGTTTTCGTGAGTTGTTTGGATTCTCGCTTCTTCGGGCTTCCGACGGACCAGGACGGCCCAAGAGGTTCCAAAGATCGTCCTAAGATCGCACCAGGAAGGCCCAATAGGTCCCCAAAAGGGGCCCCCCAAAGACGCCCGCCCGTCAGGGCCCCATGAAGGCCCAACAGGACCCCCAAGAAGGCCTGGAGACGCCAAGCTCGTAACACCAGCGCTCCCCAGAGCGAGCGGTGACGTAAACAACTCTGAGCACCAAGGCTCCCAAGAGCCCACAGTGGCGTGACAAACTCTTAAAACCAAGGCTTCCCAGAGCGAGCGGTGACACTACAAGCTCTGAAGACCAAGGCTCCCAACAACGAGCGGTGCCGTAAAAAGGTTTGAACACCAAGGTCCCCAAGAGCCCACAGTGGCGTGACAAGCTCTTAAAACCAAGGCTCCCAAGAACCAGCTGTGACCTTACAAACTCTGAACACCAAGCCTCCCAGGAGCTCACATTGACGTGACAAACTCTTAACATCAGGGCTCCCCAGCGCGAGCGGTGACGTGACAAGCTCTTAACACCAAGGCCCCCAGGAGCAAAGGGTGCCATGAGCCATCTCGGGCAAGTCCCTGCATCGCTCTTTCCGTTCCCGTGCCAGCCCAGATGACGGAATGAGCGAGGTACGAGTGATGTACGTTGTTTGGTGGGGCGAAGCCCTCTAGGGAGGGGTCCAGGGGAGGGGCGAGGCGCGCATGAGTGGTAATGGCCAGCTTTCCTTGTTTTTCTGAGTGAATCGGCTCCCGGGCAGCTCCCATGGCCCGTTTCCTCGTATGTTTTGGAGTGACGCGGCCCAAGGGCTCCAAGACGGCCCAAGAGGGTTCCAAAACGGCCTAACAGGGCACCCAGACGGCCCCAAGAGAGCCTCAGATGGCCTCCAGACGGTCCAAGAGAGCCTCAAAACGGCTCCAGAGGCCTTGCAGAGGGACTCCAGGACCCCCAGGGACAAAAAACATTAATTTTCCGGTGGGTTTAGCAGGTTTTTGGGGTTCTTGCTTCGTCGGGCCAAGACGGTCCAAACCGGCCCAAGAGGCCTCAAAGATCGTCCCAAGACGGCCCAAGAGGCACCCGAAAGGGTCCGAAAACGGCCCAAGAGGGCCCCAAGACGGCCCCAGAGGGGCCCAAAATGGCCCAAAATGACCCCAAGACGACCCAAGACGGCCCCAAGACGGCCCCAAGAGAGCCCAAGAGGGCCCAAAGAGGGCCCAAAGAGGCCCCCTAGAGAGCCCCCCCTAGAGAGCCCCCCCTAGAGAGTCCCAAGACGGCCAATGGCCTCCAAGACGCCCCAAGACTGCTCAAAAGGGCCTCCGTTGCCATTATGGCTCAATCCTGCGCTGCTGCCGCTGTGCACACGGGGAGCCAAAGCAGCTCGACTATCCTTGGTCGTTACCCCTAATCGATATCTGCGGTAACTGCCATATGACATATGGTTTGCGACCAGTCTCGGCGCACATGGCCACGCATGTGCGTCAACATTTTGTCCTGACGCTCGTGAAGCTGTCTTTGGGCACCGTCGCCGTGCTCTCACTTGGCGTTGGCGGCGCGGACGCCACCAAGGCATCAGCCGAGGATGGCAACGCGAAGGTGGAGACGACGTGGCCCTCTGCTACCGTCCGCAACGGGACGCTCTCCGCGATTGCAGACAGCAAGGCCTCGACGGCTGTCGCACTCCTGCCTGCATGGCCGTGGGCGACGGATGTGGCGTTGGGAGGTCCGCAGCATGAGGAGGACCGCCAGCTAGTTCAAGTCTATAGCTATTTGGATACAGGCCTGACCTGCTACGACGTGGGCCTCCCAGACCCGTCGAACTCCACGGAGTGTTTCGGCCCCGCGATGGAGTACGTCGGAGTGACTGGAACTGGAAATCCAATAAATTTTGGATCGGACTTTTCGTTTACTTTCGGTTGTGTATACGACTCCGACATGGACAGGGTTCTGTTCTCCGAGACCTCTGGCTCCAACACGACGTCGTCCTCAAAGTGGAGATACATTTGCCCAGGCTCATTTTCCACGACAGGCTCCAGTACGACCACGGCAACGGCCACATCCATGTCGACCTCTGCCACGTCGACCTCTGCCACGACCACGTCGTCTTCGACTGCCACAGAGCCTCCGGCAATGACTTTGGTGCCATTGGGACAGACGTGCTACGATGTGGGGCTGCGAGACGTCGCGAGTTCCGAGTACTGCTTCAACACAGCAGCGCCTTATTTCAGTATCTTTCCCGAATCAACGATCTACATCCAGAGTACGGCTTTAAATGTCAGCTGTGTCTACGAAAGCTCCTCGGACACCATGATCTTTTCGCAGTCAACCAGCGCTCAAACGCTGGGATCTGCCGACTACCAGTTCCTCTGCATCGGGACACTCACTACTGCGGCTACGTCCACTTCGATTACGAGCACCTCTCTGACCTTCAGCTCGACGACGACCGCGACAGCCACGTCCGCGACAACTCCCGCCCGCCGGCACCGACGCACCGTGGCAATCGCAGACGTGCACGTCTGCGATTGCCAGGGTGCGCCTACGCCGGCACCGACGCCAGCGCCGACGCCAGCGCCCACTCCCGCGCCGACGCCAGCACCGACCCCAGCACCGACGCCCGCGCCAACGCCTGCGCCCACGCCTGCACCAACGCCTGCGCCTACGCCAGCACCAACCCCTGCGCCTACGCCGGCACCGACGCCAGCGCCCATTCCCGCGCCGACGCCAGCACCGACCCCAGCACCGACCCGCACCAGCACCAGCGCAACAAGCAGCACCACTGTGACCACCACGACAGGCACAAGCAGTACAACCCGCACCAGCACCAGCGCAACTAGCAGCACCACGCGTTCCAGCACCAGCGCAACAAGCAGCACAAAGGTGACCACCACGTCCGCGACAAGCAGCACAACCCGCACCAGCACCAGCGCAACCAGCAGCACCACTGTGACCACCACGACCAGCACCAGCAGCACAACGCGTTCCAGCACCAGCCGAACCAGCAGCACCACTGATACCAGCTCGACGGCAACCAGCAGTACTACTCGCAGCAGCATCAGCGCTACCAGCAGCACAACTGTTTCCAGCACGACGGCAACCAGCAGTATTACTCGCAGCAGCACCAGCGCCACCAGCAGCACCACAGTGACCAGCACCACCACGCGCAGCAGCACCAGCGCCACCAGCAGCACCACAGTGACCAGCACGACCACGCGTAGCAGCACCAGCGCAACCAGCACCACCACGCGCACCAGCACCAGCGCAACCAGCAGTACAACTGCTTCCAGCACGACGGCAACCAGCAGTACCACTAGCAGCAGCATCAGCGCTACCAGCAGCACAACTGTTTCCAGCACGACGGCAACCAGCAGTATTACTCGCAGCAGCACCAGCGCCACCAGCAGCACCACAGTGACCAGCACCACCACGCGCAGCAGCACCAGCGACCAGCAGCACCACAACCGAGCACCACCCACGCTCACCAGCACCACGCAACCAGCACCAC